GACTGACTTATATGTACTACTGATATATATATTTGGTTTATAGAAAAAAGCGTATGTATATTATTATTATATATTATTATTGTTATTACTGAAAGTAGGGACTGCTTGTCATTCGAAATTGATTGTTATAAATATAAAGCTAATATTTAATGAATATATTTGACAGAGCGTTTCGTCCTTTGCACTGCAAATAGTTAAAACACAACTTTATTCTTCAACATACTCTCCTTTTAGCTCAATATATCGAATCCATCGAGTTTCTAACTTCTTTAAGCCTTCCAAATAATAATGTTTCTAAACCATGAAAATATGCGTCTATTCCTATTCACCCTCTTTATTTGAAGTAAATCTCTTTCCCTGGAGCCATTTTTTGAGATTTAGAAACAAATAGAAGTCACACGGGGCCAGATCTGGAGAATATAGTGGATGTGGGAGCAATTCATTTTTTCATTGCTCAATTTATTTTTTCATTGCTTTTGCCGATTTGTGAGTTGATGTATTGTATTGATAAAAGAGGATTTTTTTTTCGCTAAATAAGACCATTTTATCTTGATTTTATTATTCAATCAGTCCAACAATGATGCATAATATTCTTCTGTGATTGTTCTTTGTTTCTCAAAATAATCAATGAAGACTATTCCATATGCATTCCAAAACACAGTGACCAGAACTTTTTCAGCCGATTGTTAATTTCTTTGGTCGCTTTGGAGCAATTCTACCTTTTGGTGTAACCCATTGTGTCGACTGCTGTTTCGATTCAGGTGTACTACAATGGTGGATCCATGTTTCATCAACGGTTATGTATCGACGCAAAAATTCCTTCGATTTGCGCCTAAATATGTTCAAACATGCTGAGAAGTGCGAACTCGTTCACTTTTTTGATTGATTGATAGCAATCGCGGCACTGATAGCAATCTTGCAGTTAGCTTTCTCACAACCAAATGTTCGTGTAGGATATTAAAACATTCAGGTAAGATGCACACAGTCGCAGCTAGTTCGCACAATTTCACTTTGGGTTCATCCAACACGATATCATGGATCTTTTCACTCATTTCTGATGTAGTCACCTCATATAGTTAGATTAATCTGTAATATTGTTTGCGACAAAAGTGTCGCGCATCGCGAATATTATCTATTTATAATAATTTTTAATAAAGTAAAGTTGATAAGTAAATTTTTTCATATCATTTAATGTTTTATTAGTTTTTGGAATTGGAAGTTGCGATTTTATTGTAATTTTTGAAAACAATATGTCTTGTTACATATTTTTTTGTGGAGTTAGTTAATCATATAATAATTGTAAAATTTGTGAAATATCATCTTTTAATAGAATTTTTTAATAGAACGGTTTAATGGAATAAATTGAACAAAATAAGCGGGGATCATATGATAATTAGTTTAAATTTTTTAATGTTTTTAGGAAGTGTGTTTATAAATATGGTATTTTTCATATATATCGACGCTATATAGTGGCTAGTTTTACCAAGTATATAAAAACTCAAAGAAAAAATCGAACCTTCCGTTAGACATAAACGTCACTACGCAAACGTTATGGCGCTATTAAATTTATGCAAAATTTATACAATATTATGTTAAATAAACTAAATTGATAAATAATATCATGGAAAATAAAATTATAATAAAGATCCGTAATGTAGCAATGTCGTACTATAATATTGATTCGAACTTTCGATTATAAATCTGTTTAAAATCGATAACCTCGCGAAGAAAATTGTTATTTGTGTTATTTTTAAATTTTAAAATTATATGTATATACACACACACGCACGCAAAGTTTGTTACTCAAGGCTTTTACAATGCTGTCACCATGATGTAAGAATACAAGGTGTATCATTGCGCATAATGGCGGTAGCCTTGTGGGGCAGCCAATCAAAGATTGACCACAAAAGCAGCCGACTCTTTCGGAAATCTAAAGAATTTATAGTCTTCTCTCTACAATTTGTGCGATTTGTACAATTTTTTATAACACACGTAGGCATTTCTGCACGTTTTCTACTATATTTCACAATATAATCCACACGGACCACACGGCTGATTAATGACTGTTGGCAGTTATATTGCTTTTTAGCATTTGTGGTCAACGTCTGATTAGTCTAAAGAGCGGCCATTATTTTGGACGAGTGCGTATCCACGGGAATGATACACCAATTGTATTTTTACATCATGGCTGTCACAATATCATGCACGTTTATATTAAAAGAATTATAACTCTGAATATTATCTATGTACTGAATATTATAGCGACGATATCTGTTAATGCAAATGTGTTATTACGAATATGAGAATATAAAATTATTAGTATAAAGAAATTTGGTCTAAATCGAGCAGTAATAAGATGTTTTTATAAAATAAATTTCAAGTTTACAATATTAGTATAGTATTTTAATTTAAAATAATTTTTAATTTTGTTACATTGTGAAAATGACCCGATCGTTTGTATTATATATGATTGTTTGAATTAAATAGTTCGTTAATTTACTTGCCTCTTTGCCCTCTTTATATTTACATTGTTTTATATATGTATTGTATAATAACAATTATATAACGTAATTATTAAATTACGTAAGACATTTTAATAGGTATCCTTCTAACTGAAGATATCGCAATATCTCCGCAGAATTTCTCACAAAGAAAAAATTCCAGATATGACAAACAAGGTCCAAATTATCAAATTAAATACAAAAATTATAAAAATGTAAGATATATTGATAATCGCATTGATAATACATCATGTAATCGTCATTGAAGTTTCTCAAGCAGGTGGTTCTGCTTCAGCTGAAGACAGCAAAAAGCGGTGGGGTTTATCAAAAACACTGAAACTTTTATTCCTGATTTTGTTTCAAATTCTTGCGTTTAATGTTCCCGTTTAGTATTGCAGATGCTTATACAAGTTTTGACAAATGATTGTACGCAAGGATGCTCTCGGACACAAGTTGAAAAACAAAACTCCTGTAACATGCACGAATGCATGAATGAAACGGTTAAATAAATAGAAATCGCGGTGATCGATGCCCTTCTTCGAAGATAGAGACGAAGATGAGTGCCAATTAAAAGTGTGTGATCGTTTCTCGCTACTTGGTAATCGCATTTCCGTTCGTACATAAAAGATTTACCCAACCGAACAAATTCATTTGCGTTGTTACGTAACGCAGAATTTTATATAAATAAACATTTGATAAAGTTAAGCTCGAGCGATCCTTTTGCATCCTGTATAAAAATATCGCTTCTGAGAGCTTCTGAGAAATCCCTCTCCCGCGAGGAATTAAAACTACACCTACGATTTACAATCGCAGACTGCACATAAAAAAATTATAAAAGCTCAAAGGAAAGATCGCATTTTCCGAAGAAGTAATCGAAAGAAGAGAAAGCGCAACAGTCGTTAATTACAGTCGGCGAGAAATGATCGCGCAAACGCGTATGTAATACAAATAGAAGAGATTTCGGCAGCCTCTTTGTTACATGTTATATGCAAAAATAGACTTTACTATCACCCTCTTGCGCCAACGAGGAACGACGAGAGGAACCGTCCGTTAAAGAAATCGCGATCGAAACGTCAAACTCCCGCGTTTCTATTTCTTCTTCTTTCCTTCTCCAAAAGATTACATCTACGTTTACGCGATTTTTATCTGCGTTATCACAAATTCTTCATCCTAAAATTTGATAACTTTTCCCTTATTTCCAGACAAAATTTCATGATTATCTTTGATACTTTTAAATTTTTTAATCTGATATTTTTAGATTTTGAAATTTTTTTGTATTTTTGTCTTGATCTGGAAACCATCAAATATTTTGATGAGAGAGCAATTTAATGTAGCAATGTAAATTATTATTAATATTGTTACTGACACTGCTTGCATTTAATTACGTTAGAACTGCGTTAGACGTGATGTAAGTACGCATATTAAAAATTTTGAAAGCTAAGAATGTTTATTTTCCAAAAAAACTTTGCAGAATTCCCTGACTTTTCCTTAATTTCCTTGATAATTTTCAATTTTCCAATTTCGAGCTTTGTGACAACTCTGTTTATTAATATGTGATTCCGACTACGGCGAGAGATTCACTTATAGAAACCTACTTCTATCGATCGCCGAGAGAAATATCGCTTCTTCGGTTGTGCTTTATCATGAATTATCATTATGTAAACGAACGCACTGTTATGCATCCTCTAACAGCGGATATATAATTATTGTCTATGTATATATATGTATGTGTATGCGTGTATACATATACATGTGTATATTTATAGATTCTACAAAAAATGCGTCTTGCATGTTTAGATATCACCCTTGACTTGGTCGCTTTTTAACGCGATTTACATAGATGAGGAATCGCTCGCAAGACTCACGAACGACTTCCGGCGAGGTGACAATTTGCGAAAGTGTTCACGGACAATAGATACAACGAGCGGTGTTTTACTTCTTTTTTAGTTGAATTGTTACCAGTGTCTTTTCTTTATACAAAATTGTATAAAACAAAATCGACTGCACACTCTTTATCTTCGTTATTGTAATGTAAAGCGGACGCATCGAGGAAACGTATCGTGTTAAACTAACATTGCTCGTTTGATTGAAATTTTACGGTCAATATAAGGACGGCGTACAAATGGATGAATACACGTAGATGTATTACAACTCTAAGTGCGACTGAAGAGACGTCGAAAGTAACAGACGTGACACAGAAGAAATACCGTGCTTGTACGATCAGAGGTGCAAGTTGTGTAAAACGCAAGTTGGTTAACAAGAAACAAACTCACATATACACGATCTAAGAGATTTACGCAATCGTAAAATTTGCGTAAGTTATATAATAGCTTTCAACGTATCGCATTTACATCAATTGTAAATCAGTCTAAAGCAGCCTGAGCCAGTATAAACCATCGTAATTCTTATCGCGATATAAATAATTTTCTACTCTCAATAAATAGAGCTAATAAATATCTAATAAATATCAATAACTCTGTACAAATAAAAATATTCGGATTATAAATACTAAAGCAGAGACTCATATAGGCTATATAAGAATAAAAGTTGCGGTCATGTCCTTTTGCCTATCATATAGAAGTGGACATAATTAATGCACGCGACATCGGAGAGAAAATCATAGCGATCGGGATGATCCCCCTTAAATTATGTTATCTGTATTCGTACAAACGTTTCAGTACAAATGATATTATTATACATTGTTATATATCATAATGGAGATTTATGAAATTGGTGGGTTACGAAATCTGCTAAAAGATTGCTTATTGTATAATCCTAAAGTATATATTATGCATTAAGATTTTAATCGGTATCAGATATTGCATGTTACTTGGTGTTAACCGTTTAGCCTCCTAGAAAATTTGTGTACACATTGTATATGATTCTTTGAATCTTCTCTGTCCCATCACCTACCACCGCATTATTTCTTCGAAACGAATGGTTCACATATAGTGATAGTAACATCTCAAGCTTATTTGGTCGCAATGACTCGTCAACAATATACCTAACGTCCTAAGAGAATGGCGTAATATTAATTAAACATCTGTTTCTCTGCAGGTGTTTACAATGATTAGTTTGTAGAAGCATCGATCTAACAGTTTTATCACACATTTTCCCCTTTTTTTAAAGGCTCGAGGATTTATCTTTGCAAATATTCTATATGTCAACCCTCGGAAGCGAATTCTACATTTTAATCCTCGAAAAACGAAACATTTAGGATATTCTCAAAGCCCGTAAAACTGTGCTAAATTGTACTATTCGGTTGTTAACGATGCATCTAGGGTTCTATCTAAGAACTCTAAGCCAACATATGATGATACATAACTAACGCGATTGACGATAACGCGTCTGACGATCGATATTTAATTACTCGCGACGCCGTAAAATACACCGAGCAAAGATTAGTTATCAAGTTTGTCGAGTTGGCAAAGGAAGTGGTATCGACAAAAACGCTGTGAACGAAAGTGTCACGCGTCTTTCTCTCTATTTTTCTCTTATAACAATATTAAACTTTGGAATAATCGCGTACAGCCGATATTTGATTACTCGGGTCGCAAGTAGAACTACCATTTACAGAATACGCTTACATACTTCTTCATGCAAATTCTCCTTAAAATTATAAGTAATCGAACGCGCGAGGACGCGTGCGATTTAACATTAGAGTCATGTCTCTTCCTTCCTTCTGAGTACATGTACATCGTTATTATAGAAATGTAGTGATTGATACGAGATCATCTCGTAATCCATTGTGCGTATGCACGTATCATATCTCAGCTTAATTCAACATTACATTTTGTACAATTCAGTAAATGTCGTGCTCGAAAACGAGTTCACTCAATTTGACGCAACTGTAACAACTTGTTCAATCAACCGTTCGCAGTGCAATCGTCGTGAAATGTAAAGTGTCTCGTTCCATTTTACCTTCCTCTCATTATGCATTATAAATTCCTCATAAACGTAAAAATCCTGTTCAACTTAACGTTTCTCACAAACGCAAGAGCATCACTCAATAAGCCTTGTATATGCTGGATTGTATAAGAAAGGTACACAAAATGACGCAACTCATCATCTTGTTTAAATGTAAAAGATTTCCAAAAATCGTTCGCTACTTAAGAAAATTCTTGAGATATTGAACGGTGGATATCTCTCTAACGCGACTGCGGAAGTCTCCAGAGACGAACAAAGATCTAACACACTAGCGGGTTCTCTAGTGTGTTAGTCGCCTGTTTCATATGGTCTCTTGACTATTCACCGACTGCGAACTACGTGACGTTTTCCGACTAATCGGTTCCAAGTATGCCGCGGGTGCCCAGCCCTCCACGCCGCTACTGATCAGTTTGACGAACCACCAGCCAGCACAGCCGACTTTGAGAAGCTCCAAGGTATCACCTTCGCGCATCGTAACTTCAGATTGCCCCACCGCGCAATAATCGGCCAATGCCACGTACCTTCCACCCTACGATCATGAGACAAATGCGTTTATTTGTCAAGAAGGAAGACTACTTTCAAGTTAAATCCAAGACCTCGTCTCGGCGTTTAAATTCTTCAACGAAGAAAACGCTTACAGGTGCCGGTCCCGGATTATCGCCAAATGCGTCCTCGTCGTCCGTGTTGCTATTTTCTGAGCTCCACGCTGCATCCTCCTCCGTGGACTGCGACACGTCAGTCATGTGAGAGGTAACACTGTTGCTGTCGACGGATAGCGTTCGCAAAGATCCCGATATACTGCCTTGAGCTTCCCACGAGATAGTTTGTCGCAAAGGTCTTTGTAAGGAGAAAAAGTGATCAAATATTCTAAGAATTGGAATATATCCGTCTTAATTTTAACATTAATATTAACGATAAATTTTAATTTTGAACAACAATCACTTACTTATGATTGGATTTTCCAAGAGCTGAATTCTGTTTGCCTTTAAGTTCGGCCAGCTGAGACATCAGAACCCCTTTGATATGACGAACCCAGGACTGCTTCACATCAATGCTCGGTGCTTGTATCGTATGCACCTCAGCTCTACCTTGTAACCATATCTCGAATCGTTTGGCGTCGCCCTTTACCGACTCCGTTAAACCAATCTGGGACATCTGAATTAAACAGAATTATATAAATTGCTTAAATATGTTCAAATAGAAATACCGATAATTTTAAGAGATTAAAAAATACCTTCAAATATCTTTTAAAATGATACGTGGCTTTGTCATGAGCTTGAGGTTTACTGTGTTTACAAAATATCAGAGCCTTCTCGTATAAGAAAATATGTCGCTGAGATGGTTTTAGTCGCAACAATCGTTCCCGTTTACTACTGCTCCAGACACTAAATGAGCCTTGTAACAATAATTCACCCTGTGCACTCAAATCACCCTATAAATACAGAAATATATTAGAAATAAGATACAATAAATCCTGATACAAATAAAGTCAATCAAGATGCTTACTCCAAATCCTGTTATCGCAGTTTGATGCATACTATCATTAACGCATTTTAACACAACTAGCATGCAGTCCAGCGCTTCCTGTAACTCGGTGCAGCACGAAGGTTCGTCGCTATACTTTAACAAATCTTTTAACAACAACTGGTACTTAGTAATTCGCTGAACAGGCTTGAGAAGGTAGGCAGCGAGTGGTAGCTTGTGACCAAGCTTTTGCTGACAGGTTGCGAGAAATTGTGGCTCGCTTTGTATTTGTTCGCGCAATCTTTCAGATCGCGTAATGTTTTGACAATAATAACTGTACAATCTAAAGAACATCTCACGCTAAAAATATATGTGAAATTAATATTTAAATAGATATAGCATATATTATATATGTAAGAGCCGTGCAACTCACTCTTTGAACAAAGCACAAAGCGACGAGCTCAGTATTCGAAATGCAGTTTTCCAAATCCCTTAGAAAGGTCTCACCATGAAAAATATAAATATCCTCTAAATTTCCAAACAACACGTCCGCTTTGCCAACTAATGCAGCGGGTATCAAATGAGACATCGCCTCGTTCGTCATTTCCATTTTGTAGCCTTTAATGATCGAACCAAGTTCTGCGACATAGATTCGCTCAGTTTCTACGAGTTCGGTCAAGACGTGGCCGCGCTTTAAGCGTAAAGCTTCGACATCCCGAGGTTCGCTTTCCGGTGACGAAGATTCTCCCTCTATAGGACTCATCTCCATCTTAAATAAATAGAAAATTTATAATATATGTACAAAAAATGAAATAAAAATAATATACAGTAGAACTCTTCGTTTATCCAAACATGTTGAAAGACAAGACAGTTGCAATAACTAAATGGGTCTGATAACAGAGGCTCATTAGTTCTCCCTTCTACACTTATTTCGTTCCAATAATAAGAGCTAATGTTCTTAGAAAACTGAAGTCGAGCACGTCAAACTCTTATTATCCGAACTACAATGCTGCAATTGCAAAAAATTATGTATAATAGAACTTTGTTTATCTATGTTCCATTTATATAAACAAGTTCGTGCTCAATTCGTGCTCAGTTCTAAATAGCGTTGTATTAAAAGAGCTGAGTTAGTTTTTAAACAATTGAGAATTATTTGGAATTGAGCAGAAAATTATTCGCAGAAATGGAATTCTACTGTATATAATTTTTCAAATATTATTTATAAGTCAGAAAGGAAATTTACTTTTGGCATAGTATTAGCTTTTTTAAGGATTCTGCCAGACTTTATGGTTTGAGGCAGTGATTGTAAGGGTTTGACTGGTTCTGGAGTGACAGTTTGTACTGGTCTGGCTGGTTTAATCAACTGTTGTTTTAGTGCCATTATCCTCTTGTCACACATCAAGGATACGTCTTCTATCCTTTGCAAAACCTATAAAACAAATTTCGTATCAATGTGTGTCTTATGATATAACAAGAAATATTTCAGAAATACGCACTTGTGTGATGAGGGCTTTAGTTTCCGGCATCACAGAATCCTGGAAGATACATCGGGGATGATGAAATTCCTCCGCGGCTTCGATCAATTGTTGTAGCTCTTGGAGCGCTTGATCCGGTGGCGTGATGCTATTCTGCGACGCTAGCAATTCTATCCCTCGCGTACACCAAGTATTAGCCTAATTGATTAACAAAGAATTAATTCTTTTATCAGAAGGAAAGCAGATAGATCTGAAACGCGAACTGAACGCACCTTATCTATACGCTCCATAAGTTCCCTGCACTTAGTCAGCATGAGCAGTCGTCTCTCCAGTCTCTGACTGAGAATGGTGCAGACTCTCTGCAGCTCCACGCATTTGGGTTCTACAACGTCCGCTGGACACTGATGCCTGCCGGACAGTAGCTGTTGACCAGCGGATATCACTTCTTCTGCGCGATCTATGTCTCCCTATAAACACATATAATTATATTTATGCACGATAACGCGATTAGATGAATATTGAATATATAAATAAAAGTGCTACGAACAACCATGGCATGTTTCTTAGTCTCATTAAATTATCTAGAAAGAAAACTTCTCGTAAAAGAAACAAAAATACACTATTATATATGCGTGCAATGCAGAGATCGAGAAATCATAATGATAGTCACATTCTCAAAAGTTCATCGTGCCAGTGATCGGACATGAATCAAATCTCCACCGGTTTTCCGATGACACTTATGCGTGCATTTCAACTAAAAGAAGTAAGAAACGAAATAAGATATTAGCTTAAACGGTAAATAACGAGTAATCAAAATTTAATTCATGTAGCGCCTACAAAATACTTGTCGAAACGTAACATTTTCTATTTGAATCCAAGACATGATAAATTTAAGACTCAGACATATGTAATACGTAAATGCTAAGAATATATCAAAGTCTCTGTGTCTCAAAATGTATTACAAAAGTCTATTACAGAATACATGTATGTTGTTAAGTGGATTGCTTACCAAGACCCAAATCCACATGGTATGCAACAAATAGGACTATCGACAAAATGAGGAAAGCGGTGCAAAGTAACATTTGTGCATGATGTGCGTTATATATGTTACTGCTGGTAATCATGTTCAAATCAGAATTACGTGTTACATATAAACATGATGACAGATATTTAAATTCATAGCATAATCATGATTCCCAAATATAATTATTACATTTCTATTTCGTTACGGAATTTATATCACAAAAAGAGAAATAGTTTCATAATGAATAACAAAGTACTAATTCGAATAGTGCATTTTAATGCTTCGAAGTGCAATGTGTACATTCGGTTCTAAAGTTAAAAATTAGCAATGTTGTTAAATTGCTTTCACTAACAACAAGTCATTGCATAATTATATTACTTTCATATAATGGATCTCTAACTTCATCTTTCAATAAACTGTATGTTATTTGAAAATCTAATTTTTTTCGAGATTTATCAGTTAGGTATTTTATCAGTAAAATGATCAAATACGTTAATTCGATATATTGTAGTATCTCGAAAAATAAAAAAATATCACGTACTCTGCATATTCGCTGAAATGCCGACGTGTCATGCAATAATTGCTCCACTCTTGCTTGCGTCTCGCCGACTTCCGTCATTTCTTCCGCCGTCTTTAGATGCTGATCTAATGTCGCTTGCAATTCTCGAAAATCTTGCTCGAATTGTCGCAGAGCCAGACAGTGTCTCAAACGTGAACTATGATGCGACCAAAATAAATCGAAAGTTCGTTCAGTTTCTTCCAACTGAACAAGTAATCTGAAATTTAATTTAAAAAATGTGAAAAATTAAACTATTCAACATTTAATACTACAACAGTCAAAAAGTTTATAAATGTTGTATTTTTTAAATTTTCTTTTAAGATTTTCTTATTAAGATACATCCTCACTAAAGGCAATCGCGTTAGTCGACAAACTGGTTTCTTCTTTTTTATAAAAATATAGAAGTTAACGCGATTAACTTAGATGAAAAAAAACCCCCCATTAGATATTATTTCTTATTAGATTAATCAAATCGAATAAAAAGCAATTGATTTGTAAATTATTTTTGTTACATTTATTATTAATTATTGGTTTATTTTTCGATTTCTTTACCTCTCTACTGCAGCAACATTTCCTAATCTGTCGGCCGTTCCTTTTCCTGTTAGCTGCCGTACACTATCCAAAAGGGCTTCTCCGTGCCTGGCAGCGCTGAGTATTTCTTCTTTTAATTCGTTATATTCAGCTTGTTGCTGTGATAATAGCGTTGTCGTAGCTAGAGTGTTGTTAGGAAATTCCACTTCGGCCAAACGTCGTGTGAAAGAGTCCAACGCGAGAGATACGTCCTGTGTCATCGACGAAAACTTTTCCAAACTCTGTACAAAGAAAATAACACAAAATTTATTAATACAAAATGCACAAATTAATTCCACTCATTGTTAAATTTGTTTCATATTTACAATTCTGTTCTGTATCCAAGTATGATGACAATATGGTAAATCGCCGCCGAGTTGTTCGGTAAGCTGTTCCTTCTCTATAAACTCGTGTAGCTCGGCGATGTTAGCTAAGAAAATAACCCTGAACTTGAAATCTTCCCGAAATAATTTATTCGACACTTCTGAAATGGCCTTTTGTAAAAATCCAACGGGTCGTAGTACATACGCGACGTGTACTAAACCAGGAAAAAATGCCTGGAAAGAAAAGCATACGATAAAAACTTACGCGATAAGAACAATTATTCTCAATGTCAGTCTAAATTTTTAGACAGATAAGCAGGTGTGAATTATTATATAATACGCGTTAAATGTATACTTACAGAAATTTTTAGAAGTACTGTTTTTACTGAATTCCACTTGTCGTTCCTCCGATCAATTATTAAATGAAATCCAAGATCAGCTTCTTGAAGTCTAAGTGATAAAGTTTAAAATACGAATGTAATATAATTTAATTCAGGTAATTAAATGGTTTTACATAAAAAGAAAAACAAAATCATGCATTAATCGCGTTAAATTAATTAATTGTATTCTTACGTTGGCACAGAAGTAAGATACAGCATAAGACGCTGATAATCCAAATCAGTCAAGTTATGAAAATTGCCATTATCTGGAAATGTAATTATAGGACATCCCTCTCGCGTTTTTCCTCCTAAAAAGAAATAAAAGAGGAGCTATTTAAAACCGTTTATCTTAACAGAGAAGTAAAATTTCAGTGCAATTTATAGCGTAATAGATGTTTACCAGTAATAATAGCGTATTGTGCTTGGAGAAGATCTGCAACGTCTCGAACTGCCAAATCTCCGTTTTCTATCTCGCCTGTCATACTCTCTACATCTTCTGGAATCAAATATTGTCCTTCTCATTATGACCATCATCAATATCACTAATATTTTTAAGAATATATTCTAAATTCTTTTTATAGCGTTACTTATTTAAATTAATAATTCATGATAAATTCCCTAAATTAATAAAAAAATTACATTGAAAATTTAAAAATTACTTAATATGTACAACTAGAAATTAATTAGAAATCATTGCTTCATTCTTATACATTTAAATATTTGCAAATATATAGACATTACACATATATAATACGTATGTATTTATTTAATGTAAATCCTATTGAATATTTTTAACATAATCACGGTAAGAGAAATTTTTACCATGTATTTCATTCTTAGATTAGCATTAAAAACCGCGTATCCAAATTATTAAAAAAAAATTACTTCACAGTAGGTGTTACAATATCACTCAATTATACTAAAAAGCTCAAGTGACTTAACGATTCTAGTTGACACTCTGTTACGCAATTGTTTACAGTGAATGCACGGCTCAAGTCTCGCTGGTGTACTGAATGCGAGTACCTGATCAGAGGTTGCACTCACATGACCTTGCTCATGCCACTGAGCTGAAACAGTTTCCTGCAGTACCCACAATATTGCTGATATAACTGTAAACCAAGAGGCTCTCAAACGGGAGATTATATCCTTAATTATGCCAAGAATCTTGAAAGACAAGATAGTTAATTTCTAACTACCGATACATTCTAGAAAACACCTAGTCCCGCAACGGTTCAACGCCTCTTTTATATTTGCTTATATAAGAAATAAGATTTTAGATATGAGCTATATTAGAAGAAGAGAGAAAGAGAGAGGAAATTATTGTGAATTATACATATGTAATACTTGCATTATTTTTAGCATTTCTAAATTAGATTTTTATGACAATTGCAATAGAATTTTATCTACTATTTATTCATTTTATAATTTATCTCTGATCACCGATTAATTTAAATTCGGTTTTGTTTTATATAAGAACTTCAAAAATATACATGTTTTTATACCTAGATGCTACAAATAAAATGTATAAATTATGTATACATAATATTTGTAGTTAGTAATGATAAAGAAAGTTTATGTTTGCATGAATTGAGAAGCACTGTACCTGTTACTATAGTTACTTCATTTCCATGTCTGGAATTTAAAGAAAATAAGAAATGTTAAAATTCTAACCTGTTTTGATATTAGTTCATTGAACACTTTTTGTATGTAGAAACGAGTGGTGACATTAAGGTCACAAAAAAATAAGTTATAATTATTTTTCATAGTTTCAAAAAGAAAAAATTTTATTATATGAAAAATATAAGATTATACATTTTTACCAAATACAATTTATGTAATTATTCTCATTTTTTCTATAGTAGTCTTATACACAAATGTACTATCTATGAATTATGAATTTGGCTAAATGATTTTTATTGGTTGCAGAAATATTTCATACATCCAAGTGTTTTTGATAAAACACAACTTGCTTATTCAATATAACAAAAAAATATACATATATATATATTTTTTTTTTAACAAAATTATACTTAATAGCAACATAAGTTATGATCTTCGTATGTAATTTCATATATTGTTCATATATATTAAAAGATTATTATATTTACATATTTCTCATAATTCTATATGTATTACTCTGATTCTCAGTTTAAGATTGGGAGCAATTGTCAAGGAAATATATCCTTATATAGCCTTATATATCACATTCATATACTGTACACACGTATACTATTTGTATAAAATTATTTTCATTATTTTATTTTCAGTCTTCCACGTTACTTATACGCTTTCGTCTTCAATCGTGTGATAACAGTTAAGTACTAGCCCGCGTGTAGTAACTTGATAAGTCGTAGTGCGGTTGTCATGCAAGTTTCTGATAGGCGTCAGTACGTAGGTATCAGTCTGTCCTAGATCACTGGTTATCATCAACGGTAGTACCGTAGTGCCTTTCGCCTCGAGGGCGATTTCCGACTTGGATGATCTCAGTTGGCCCGTGTCGTCTCTCGCGTCGGGCTCGGTCGTACAGTGAGTCTGTGCGGTCTGACTTCTGACGAAGTCGAGTTTGGCAAATTTCACTTGCGGGAATTGCACCTTCAAGAAACGCCGGAACGTCGAGTAGCCCAATTTCTTGACGTTAGGCGACACCTTCTTGCAGAACTGCATGTATAGATCATGCACTGTTTTCCGCGTCAAATCCGATGGTAGATGCAACGGCGCATTCTTGGCGAGCCTGCTCCTCTGCTTCGCCTCCTGCATCTCGATAAAATTCTTCAAGAATTCCATTGCGATCTTGTATGTTTCCAGCGAGAACGTGTTGTGCGGTATCTTGCCGTGATTACCGTGAACGCGCGGCGTTACGCCGTGCGTCATCAGGTGCTTCCGGATTCGTTTGAGCTGATAATGTGTACAATTTTCCAAGTACAGGAAAGCGTCCAGACATACTCTTCGACCCTGATAAACGTACTGCGCACGTAATCTACGTCGTTCCGTGTGCCGAGCAGTTTGATAGGGATCCGTCAAACAGGCCATTGTCACGCCCATCAAATACATGTCATGCTCGGCTTTAGTTAGTTCCGCGATGTTTAGCCTGTGCCGATAAACTATCTCGGGGTTCAGACCTTTGAAGCACTCATCGTCGACACACTCGCAGCCTTTCTTGAAGCGTTCCACCACTTGGGATAGATTGTCCTCCAATTTTGTAGGATCGCTACTCGTTTGACCGTTTCGAGTTTTCTTCGTCTTTACCTTTGCGACAGTCTTCTTTGGCTTGCTGGTGGAAACCTCGTTTTCCTACAATAAAGATAAATCGATGCGTGTCAAGCAAATTGTCAATTTTAGACTGCAAAAACTGTGTTTTATATAATATAATACCTATTAAATTTAAAATCCATTTATATATCGATAAGGTATAAATTATAACAAAATATCAGCAAATATTAATAAATTTTATGCAATTTTTTCTTTAAAAAACTTAGAAATTGTCATCAAAAATAAGAGAAAGAATTTTATTTTTTATTAAAGCAGATCTTGGTGCTTAATAATATTCATATATAGATTAGCATTATTATTAAATTAGCAATCAATGTAATTTTATATTATTTTCAGCTACAGTTTATGATTGCGTTTCAAATCAATTTTAACTATCAAGCAGTTTATAGAACTGCAATGAAAAATGTAAGTCTACATATAAATGTTACTAAACACTACAATCTTTCAATTCCATCAAAAATAAGAATCCTTTTTTTAAATGATTTGTTCTTATTGTCTAATTTTCATTAAAAATTGTATACAAAGTGCTTACTTAATAATTTAAAATTTTACCTTCATCCCTGCATCTTGCTCCTTAGTTGTTATATTTTTATCAGCAACTTGTATATTAGTTTTTACTTTCTCCTTATTATTTTCCGACACAGGCTCCATTATAGATTCCTTTGTTATTTTATTTTTATCAGCAACAGCAGTGTCTACATTAGCTTTTACTTTTTCTTTGTTGTTTTCTGGCACTGGCTCTATATTATCTCAATTCATGCAATAGTTTCCTGTCATAAAATAACATATCTTAACATTTTGGTTAAAATAATTACAATTATTTAATAACTACACAAGTTTTGATAACAGTAAATTCCAGGAGCAAAACAACATTTAGAGTATTTTAGAGTATACTCGAAGACCATTTAAATAAGTTTGGAAAATATTGTTGTACATCAAGAGGTTGTGTTTAGAAATATCACTCAGGTTTCCCCGAGTATCATCTTATCCTTATTGCTCATTCGATGTAATAAATAAGACAATACACGGGGATATATTTCCTAACGCAGCCCAAGAAAAATCAATTTTTCAGGGATTAATGATAATTTTGCACGATTTTACTTTCGATTATTTTTAATTAATCTCCTTTTAATTTCACCGCATTTCACTTTCTGTGTTTTGTTTCTTTCTACTTTCTCTTTAAACAACAAATATATACCTCTTTTATTATAACAGACAATATGCAAACGTACAGTTCAATACAGCTACATCAAAAGGGCTGTTTTCTTTTTAGGAGTGCTTTTCATTTGATGACACAAGTCGATACAAGTGTCGTGCTATTTTTATTACTCTCTGAATGCCTAGAAAAGAGTGATGTTTGTGTCGACTTGTGTCAATAAATGGAAAGCACCCACTGTCAACAATTGACACAAATCGACGTCTTTCCATTTACAATTTTGTTCAAATTCAATCAACACTTTTCAACTTTGCTCGGAAGGAAAATGTGGAGTGTGCATGATTTCAATCGATTGACAATATAAAGCGCACAAATCAATTTTTATCATTTGTAATATATATGATATTGAAAAATATATCGTTTGAGAAATTTTAAGCTAATTGTAAATTCTGTGAGGTTAGGTACTAAAAATTCGCGAATACACTGTGCATTTTCCATTTAACAACGGCAAATTGCAAACGTGTTAATTGTGTCGACTTGTGTCTCCGAAAACAAAAGGAAATAAATACCCAAACATTCAACTCTCCTTCAAACTATACTTTCTGCACCTGCTGGGATAAAGCAACTGTGTACATACAATCCAAAAATGTCCGGAACAATTTGCAATGAAGGAAATAAATCGGAGTGGAGTGTACGAAGTGCAGTTAGGAGGGTAAAATTCTATAGACTATAAAATTCTACGTTTCTCTGGCGCATCGCATCTCCCTTAGGAAACAATAGAAAATTGCAAGCGGGATTTGTGGAGCATTGGGACGAGCCGGCGAGCGCAGTGTGGTGCGAGAGTGCAGAGAGTACAGCTGTGACCGTAAGGTCGAGAGTCGCTGATCGCGCCCCTCGGTCGTCAATTTTCGTCCTTCGGTCTCTATGGCCTGCTAAGAGCTAAGAGTGCTACGTCGACAGCAGTCGACAGTTTTACTCACCGTGTTGGACGGGTGTCCACGGCTTGACCATCTGACAATCTGACGGATGTCAGGCCGATGAAACACGACGTTCAATGATGCCTACGTGGACTCGATCTCGCAGCACGTAACAATGAATCACAATGAATCGCGCCGTAATTCACCAGCCAGTACTCCCGATGAAATAGCGAACCTCTCGTTCGTGTTATTGTCGCGGCGAAAAGGAGGGGGTAATCTTCCAGGGCCGTCTGCAAGAGTACGGCACCCCGCGATAAAAAGTATCGCGGGCACGCGTTTGAATTTGCCTTTTGGTGGCAAAAACACTTTTTTTTGTTAATTACAGTTTAATTACATTTTATTCCATAATTGGGAGGTTTTGCATAAATTGCGATAGAATCTCCTGTTCTCGTCAGAGAAATAGAATATGATATGTATAATAGAATATCAAAGTAGTTATATTTGATAATTCAGTTACTTGCATTTTAGTTAATAACTCAATTATGTACATTTTGTATCTTATAGATGTTTCGCATCGAAGAATTTAATAAAAACGAATTTAATCTTCCGTCTGCAATCTGGATTTTTTTAAAGTAAATTTCACTCTCGAATTTCTGTAAAATAAAGAAGGGCGGAATCCAATTTTTATTTTTTTTATTTTAAATATCTTGTTAAAAATTATTGCGTATTGTTTTAACAGAGATGTTAAAAAAGAACCTTGAATTACATTTTTTTAAAACCTACACTGGAAAAAAAATCTGGTTACTTTAATAGGAATTCTGGTTAAAAATTAACAAATCAGAATTTTCTGACTGAATCTATTAATTATAATTCTAATTACGATGACCAAAATTCTGATTGATATAATTAAAATCTTATATTTTGTTTATTTTGAACCATACATTTTTCTTAGTGTAAAATAGTAAAAAGGAACTTAGATTGAACGCAGGGTAAAAATATGAAACCTGTTCTTTTCCGGGTTTGAACTTCTTGCATGATTCATCTTTCTTCTTTTCTTTTTATATTGGGGGAAAAGACAAAAATGAATCGTGCAAGAAGTTTAGTCTTGGAAAAAGAACAAACTTTTACGATTGCAGACGGAAACTTAAGATAGGAACACACAAAAAACTTTAGCAGTAAAACGTAAGCAGTAAGCAAAATTGGCCAATCACGGTAGAGACCGTAACATATTTTTGTTATGTTGATTTCCTTACTGTTTAAATTTTTTTTATGTATCATCCTCCATACAGTTCTCTGAGTAATATCTGAAGACTTCCATAATACATATCCAGTGATATTCATAATACAATAAGATATATCCTAAGGGCGTCCTCTGGAAATCTCTTGGAAAATTGTATATATATGGCGTGAGATAACCCTTAATATAAGTCTCAATGCTATATGATTTATTCGATAAACGCAAGATGGGAAATTGCAATCGTTAATTATAATTAAATCTTCCGTAAATCCCGCGGAAGCTGCAAGCGATTAATGAAACACAAGTATTCGAATTGTAGAACATAACGCCATGAATTCGAGACTAACGAGAGATTCGTTTTTTAACCCGGAAGTAATTCGCACGTGATATCGACGTGTTTTCGCGCACAGCGCGTTAATGTATTCACGACATTGCGAACAGCAAGGAGAGAACCGGCGATAGTTCCCGTCGAAGGGGGAAAAAGCTTCCCGATGCCGCTGTGAGCGAAGACGGAAGTGTGCGGATTATTGATTGACGGCAAAATGCGGATACAGCCCTGGCACTCAACCCCTCCAATCTCCTCCAACCCCCGCAACGCTACGCCGCCCTGGCGCAAGCGAGGGAAGGGCGCCACCCTGGAGACCGCATACATGCACAATGCGCAGCGCGCCGAGACGGCGAGCACGCTCCAAATAGCATGCACCGTACGCGGGGAACGGGTTCTTTTGACGGTCGACGACGTAATCCGGATCGCACAGAAAAGCTTGCAGCAACATTGTTGCAACGTTCACTAGCGAATCCACGGAGGAACGACATGGGGACCACAACCTCCTTGGACTACCTTTTTAAAAATATTTATAGCAAAATGTTACGTATACTTTTAATATTTCTAAAATACTTAATCACAATTTTGATATTCCACACACACACAAATATTTTTTAATTTAAAAAACTCCTAATAGATACAAAAAACAAGATTCCATTATATTATTTTTCTCTCTTTAATGTTAATTCTTTGGTAATATATTTTAATATACTAATGTTGTAATATTGTTAAAGTAATCTGTGCTGTATGCAAAAGAAATTTTATTTGCAATCGTCTCGATAGTTTGTTTTTTATTGTTGCCCTGAGCTGAACTGCAATTTTTCTTTCTTGCTTTACTAAATTTCAAACATACGTCTAAGACATGTTCCTTTCAGCTTTTTGCATGGTTCATCTTTCTTCCTTTTCTCTACGTTGGGGAAAAAAAGGAAAGAGAGATGTATGCATGCAGCAAGAAGTTCAGCTAAAAAAAAAAAACGTATATCTATTTCACTTTGGCTACGTTCAGCAGAAAAAGTAGCTTTGCAACTGTTGTAAAATTCTTTAATATGATTGGTTTCGTTTTATATAGATCCAGTGAAGAACTAAGGGCAAGTCCAATCACATTAAAGAATTTTACGACATTTGCAAAGCTGCTTTTTTCTACTGAACACAGTCTTTAAGTATAAAAAGTATATACTAGTTCAGCTATAAAAAAAAAGAACCGATCTCTATTGTCGAGTTACGATGTCGATCGGATACTCGGGTGACCCACGACCTACCCTTCGGATAGTACGGATCGATTTTCTGTCTTGTTTATTCTCCCTCTTGGTTTCGACAAATTGAAGAAATTTCATTTCGTGATTTTTTTTTAGGCGTTCGAGACTGAAATCGTAAAGCTAATGGCACACAGAAAAACGTGAAGCAATAAAAAGTAGACAATAGGCTTTCTAAATAAGCCATTACCTGTAAGTTTCAATGTTAAGTTTTAAGCCGTAAAAAATTGATCAACCATAATCAATTATTCTTCGACTGTAATTGGTCAGTTTTTTACAGTTCAATACACATTCTTTGTACAATAAATCATTAGTAATAAATTAGAAATCAGAAGCTGGAAATTAACCAATCATAGTCAATTATTCTTTTCGCATTTAATTGTGATTTTAATTTCTAGCTTCTGACTTCTAATTTATTACTAATGGCTTATTGTAGAACGTGCCTATAAGATTTTTAAAAGCTTAGATAATGACTTGTTGTAAAAAGCCTATGAGCGAACTAGCAATCACAGTAGAGATAATAACAGTAAGACAATAACGTAAACAGTAGCAAGTCCAAAATGTTGATTTACTTACTGTTTACATTTTATTGCTCAAGTCTTTTTGTCTACCATAAATTCACTTAACGCTGCAAATGCTTCATTGATCCAATCAGAAGGAATTTTACAAATTGACAAATGAAAGAATGCTTCAAAGAGCATTTGTAGTATTAAATGGATTGCATCTACAACCTTAATAGGAAGATTTCGAGCTCGCCTCAGTACCTCGTTCCGTCACGGTTCCAACCCCGTACGTCTCTCTCCGCCCTCCAAGGTCGCAGGCATTGAAACATTGAAACCGCGGGAGCGAACGTGCGGCTTCTACGATAGCAAAAGCCTCTTATCTCGCAAGCGTGCCGAGAACAATCGGTTTCTCGGCTCTACGCTTAAACCCGTGGAATTCGTTTTCTCGACGTCACGAAAAACACCGCTCGTTTCAGATACGGCGAGAATATTTGTACATTCAAATTATTTGAACGTTAAAACGTACTATTTGCACTTTCTAATAAGGCTAGATAAAGTTATTTTCAAAACATACTTCGTGCAGTTATTGCTTTCGGCAGTCAAATCACTTTATAAACAATTACAACTTTTGTAGTATTCCTGATGGATTATTGAAATTCTGTTTTCAATTTTTAATTATAATTATTGATTCTCATAACACAAGTTCCAGCTAAAAATAATTCCAGCAATATTATTCCAATAATATTTCAGTAACACTGCAAACGTTACAGCAACGTTTGCAAGCTTATGTGCTGTATGAATTGATTCTATTGATGTTATAGATTTTATTAACCCGTAATTGAAATATATGAAACTTGATAATTCTGAGATTTTTCCTAATTTTTAAATAGTAATGATCTGGAATAATTTTTAAAATTTTATTTTTCACAATAAAAACATTAATTAAAAAAATCGTTTAAAAAATAGAACAAATAACAAAAATTTAAGTAAATTCCAACTCAGATAGTATAAAATTTTGTAATAACGTTTGCAAATTCTCACGAAAATAAAAAACTCGGAACGTAAGTCGAATGTATAAAAGGGAGAGTAATGGCTCGTCTACATAGAAGTCGTAGGGTTTCAAATCGTAAGAAATTGACCAATTTTAGTCGAGTATTCTCCTTATATTTGATTGTGATTGATTTGTTTCCTCTACGATTTAAGACTCTACGACCACCTACGATTTCTCTGTAACGAGTTTTAACAGAAACAATGAAACTTTTAAAAGTGTAAACGCTTCTTTTATGTTCCGTTGTTTCAATTTTCGCCCCCTAGAAACTTCATTTGCCCTTCTGTTACTCTCTCTTTACATTCGACTTACGCTCTCAATTTAATTTTCACCAGAGATTTTCTAGCAACATTGCTGGAACAATGCGATGTGCTGCATGGAAAAAACCTAGATGTTCTCTTAATTAACGTTAAAAAATATTTACGAGTTGATAAATTGCGAGAAATTATATAGACACGGAAAACAAAAGGAAATAGCGCTAAGTGAACAATACTTGAAAGACAAAGCCGACAAGTTCATAAGTAAATGATACTCGAGTTATGAAAACACGGCGAGTTTCTACACCAACGATACCTCTTAAGGTTTGTAAGTAGTAGCAATGCAAGTCAAACCTGCGCATTTAGTCGAGCAGTGTTGATGGCAGGGACAATTGCAGCTGTGCTGCGACTTTCGGCGGAGAATCATCTTGGCTTGACTGGCGGGCCGATACTTATCGTATTGTCACGGAACGTTGCAACTTGTACAATAGCGCCTGCTGTACAATCAACGCTCCACGTAGAGAATCATCGACCAGGCTACAGCTCTTTCCATTCCACTAGGCGACTCGAATCGCCATCCACTTCAACGGATCCGACTTTC